GGCAGATAATATTCCTGCCCTCATTAATAAATAATTATGCCCACAGCACAGAATAAAGTAAATAATCCCCAAATATGGTTTTCATACAATTATCTTTCAATCTAGATAAATATATCTCTCCTCATATTGACTTAGACCCTGATATCAACCTGCATTTACTCTAGTGCTGACATAAGAAGGAGAAGAGGGGGCAACTGGCAAGAGGACGCTTGACTCTTCACCTACTTATTTTCCCTGAAGATAATATCCCCTAGGAGATGAGATGGGAGGGGGGACATTCCTGGGAGCTGAAGTAGTAGATATGGGGAGAGTGATTTGGAAGATGGCCAATGAGACGCAGAGAATTGGGGAACGGAAAAGGAAGGTTTGGGGTCAGGAAGTCAGTGTTGGCTACGACATGATCGGGGACAGATTGTCGTGCTAAATAAATGAAAGATTTCATCAAAGACTATTTGTTTGGAAATGCAACTTATTTTATTTGAGACGACATCGAAACCTGACACCTCACTTCATCTCAATCCTTTTATTCAACCACCGATACCAACGGTCCCAACTTTGAAAAAAATTCAGAATCCTCTTTTTCTTTTCAACCTATACGCCATTCTGTCCGCTTCAGCGCACTCTAATACTTTTATTTATAATTTGGGCACTAGCCGGTATCTCTTTTTCTTTCCACTGTTGGGCGAACACTATTCTAGCTGCAACTAAAATATGTAGAGTGAGATACCATTTTTTTCTTACTCAGCCCCCCTCAACGACTCTGTGGTTCTGTATAGAGAGAAACCCTCGTTGTGTTGTGATCTCTGATTTCGATCATCGCCAGGGCAGCACAATTAGCTACCATCATTCCCCGGCAGCCTGCTTTGCTGTCGTCTCCCAGCCCCATGAAGGAAAAAAACAAAACAAAACAAGAACCACACAGCAGGTTTTGCAAAGATTATTTTTTTTGACATTGCCGGTTTCCAAGCCAACCTTCCTCGGCGGATGATTCATGCAGATCAAAAGAATTCTCGGATGATTAAACCCAATGCTGCCGAAGGAGAATTGCACGGCTGTCTTTCCACCGAAATTACAAGGAGATTTAAGAGAAGTTGTTTTTTTTTTTAAAAAAAAAACCAGGAATCTCCCTATCTAACCAAATTGCTTCAAGAAGCTGCTGGAAGATCTACCATCCAGCTATCTGAATCCAGCGCCTTGCAGGAACAACGACTCCCACAATTCCCAGCCGTTGGGACTTTTTTAGGGTGAGGAAGATTGGCACAGGGTGAATGGCAACATCCTTTACTTAGCTGATTTTTATCCCATTTTTATTATTGTTTGTTAAAAAACTCTAATATCTAATACTACTCCTATTTTCTCTGCAACAACAATCCTGTGAGGTGGGTTGGGCTGAGAGAGAGTGACTGTTTTCAAGGTCACCCAGCCGGTTTTCATGTTCCAAGGCTGAACTAGAATTCACCATCTCCTAGTGCAGGGGTCGGCAACCTTAAACACTCAGAGAGCCATTTGGACCCGTTTCCCACAGAAAAGAAAACACCGGGAGCCACAAAACCCTTCCCGTGCCTGACTATTTCTTGAGTGGCCACAAAACTAGAATATATAGTTGAATTAAAGATTCTATTTTCTTCTATTTTCTTGGATTTATCCATGGTTGGCTTACCGGGGGTCGAAAAGCTTAATAAATTGCGCGTCAGTGTGTGTCACACATTGACAGTTGTGACGCATATTTTGAGCGACAGGGAGCTGCAGCAGAGGGATGAAAGAGCCACATGTGGCTCCAGAGCTGCAGGTTGCTAACCCCTGTCCTAGTGATTGGCCCAAAGATACCCATCTGACTTTCATGGCTACGATGGGACTAGAACTCACTGTCTCCTGGTGATTGGCCCAGAATCAACCAGTTGGCTTGCATGCCTAAGGTAGGACTAGAACTCACCATCTCCTGCTGATTCCCTCAGTTATCCATCTGACTCTCATGGCTACGATGGGACTAGAATTCACTGTCTCCTGGTGATTGGCCCAAACCAGTGGTGGGTTCCTCCCGGTTCGGTCCGGTTCGGCCGAGCCGGTAGCGGTGACGATATGAGCGGTGGCGGTAGTGGTGACGCCCTCCCACCCCCCACCCCCCACGTTATTCTTACCTTTTATTTGGTCCCACCCCCAATCTATTACTGCCTCCTGAGTCCCAGCTGATGACTAGAGGGAAAAAAACTGTTTAAACTCTTGCCGCGGGGCTTCAAAGGGCCATCCTACAGCTGATCAGTGTTAAAAGCAAACAAATGAGTCGGGTCGTAAGTGCGAGGACTGGTCGTAAGTGCAAGGACCGGTCGTAAGTGCGAGGACCTTCCAGAAATGATTCTGACCAGCTAGCCACGCCCACCTTGTCACATGACCTCCAAGCCACACCCACAAAATAAGCCACGCCCACAGAATCGGTAGTAAAAAAATTTAGAACCCACCCCTAGCCCAAACTCACCCATCTGACTTTTATATCTAAGGCAGGACTTGAACTCACCATCTCTGGGTTTCTAGCTTGGTAACTTAGACACTTGACTAGGCCGTACTGGCTCTAAGAAAGTTTAAGGCAGTTTTAAGGCAGGATTTGAGCAGTCCTCGGTTGGGCCTGCTGATTGTGAAAGTTGCAACCGATGATAATCTATGGCAGATTATCTATCGATTGAAATCACAACTGAAATCACGACTGAAATCACGATTGAAATCACTAGTAAAAAGGCTTGATTTAAATCAATCTTTAAAGAGCAACGGACATCTCTGTTCCCGCAGCAGCTCTTTTTCTGACTCACCGTTGACTTACCGACAGTCCCATTCACTTTAAGGGGACGGCTAGTGATGCGGCAGACACACAACAAGGTGAGGGACGTGGCGGGCAGCAAATGAGTGGATGCCCGCTAACAGGCGCTGCCATGATGGATCTGAAATGACAGGCGCACTTTAATATTATATTTATAAGCTACTTAGAAAGTTTCCAGAGATGGTATTTTGCCGGTTCAGACCGGTTCGCCAGAACCGGTAGCGGAAAATGCGGGTGGCCCCGCCCACCTGACCTGTCTCTATGCCATCCTATTTAGGCACGTTTTTGAGGCCGGGCACATGTGCGGGAGGCCGGGTGCATGCATGGATGGGGCGCGTGTAAGCGTGCGCTCACATTTGCGAACCGGTAGGGAAAGTAAGTGAATTCCACCCCTGAAGGTTTCACTTTCATTTTTACTGCTTGGCCTTCCTCCTCACACTTTAGAACCTGGTGGTACAGATCAGTGGTGGGTTCTCTCCCGGTTCGGCCTGGTTTGGCCGAGCCGGTAGCGGTGACAATATGATGTCATGATCATCAAGCCACACCCACAAAATAAGCCACTTCCACAGAACCGGTAGTAAAAAATTTTTACCCCTGGTACAGATGCATTTCTCTTCAAACAATCGTACAGTTTGTAGTGTACATAGATTTGCAAAACAAGGGGATAAAGGAATATTCCTGAATTTTTTGTTTGATGATTTATCTCATGGCTTACTGTGAAATTGTGGGAATGCATCGACGCAGTGCACGTTATCTCAGCTCGCAGAGCTTGGATTCGTTGAATGGGTGTCCATATTGCCGAATATACCGCCTCATTGCTACTTAACTAAGCTCCATTTCATGCTGAGTCAACTAAATTATGAATGCATCTTCAATAGAAAACGATCTTCAGGTAGATTTTTTTTTTTTTTTTACTCCGAAAGCATTTTATTCAAAGAAAAATTGATTTTTAAAAAAATCCGATTTAAATGAAAAAAAAAATGTGATCTACATTTTTTAAAAATCTGATTTTTTAATTAATTTAAAAAACAACAACAACATCGATTTTTATCCATCTTGCTTCCCTGACTCGAGTCCCGATCGTTAGGAAATGCTTACGTGCTGAGCCAAAATTCAAGATATGGTTTTGTTTGACATTTCCGGCAACTTGAGGAATTGGTCAATGGATAACTTTTGGGAGATTTGCGGAGGTGAAAAATCTAGTTGCAAACAAACCTTTCTTATTTATTCACGGTCCGTTTATGAGCAGGACAGATTGACCTTCCCTTCCTCTTCTAAGGAAACAGTGTCAACACTTGGTCGGATCTTCTGTAATCTACTTCCTCTGTTGTTTACCTGTTTCTGGGCTGTTAAATTAACCTCATCTGAAGCCTTTTCCCATTTACACCTGAGCAAGGCTGAAAAGGTGTCCATTTTAACACTACTCTGCTTTTAACACTGCTATTTACAGAATAACAGAGTTGGAAGGGACCTTGGAGGTCTTCTAGCTCAACCCCCTGCTTAAGCTGGCAGGTGGCTAAGACGCTGAGCTTGTCGATCAGAAAGGTTGGTAGTTCGGCAGTTCGAATCCCTAGATCGACAAGCTCAGCGCCTTAGCCACCTGCCAGCTTAAGCAGGGGGTTGAGCTAGAGGACCTTTAAGGTCCCTTCCAACTCTGTTACTGTTAAGCAGGAAACCCTCATACAGGTAGTCCTTGACTTAAGAACAATTCATTTAGGGACCATTCAAAGTTACAACGGCACTGCAAAAAGTGACTTACAACCATGTGTCATACTTACAACTGTTGTAGCATTTCGTCGTCCCCCCACCCCCCCATGGTCACGTGATTTATATCGGGATGCTGGACAACTGACTCATACTCCGGAGGGGAGTGATTGCTACAACTCACGAAATTGCTCCATTGGCGAATGTGATTGATGACACACTCTGGGGGGAAGGGGGGAAACAGGGTCATGATTGGGGCGTAAATTACATGGGGTCAGAGTTGGCTTCACTTGGGAACGTGCGGACATGAAGCTCCTAATAACTGGATTTCTTTTGAAGCTTGGCTCGAGGGTCATGATTTAATTAGGGCATCCGTCGGAACCCTGACAGTGGAGAGTCACATTCAAAGCCTCTGAAAGGGATCGGTTGGGGAAGCCTTTGGAAATCACTCCAAAATGGACCAATTTTTCTCTTTTTCTCCTTTCAGGGACCGGTTCCAGCATCTTGTCGGCCCTTCAGGATCTGTCTTGGCTGTCCAAGTCAAAAGTGGAGAAGCAACTGCAGATCATTTCTGTGCTGCAATGGGTGGTCTCATTCCTTATGATGGGTAAGGAGATCTTTTTGTCTCAAACTCTCAAGACTTTTGGGGAGGTCCTCTTGGGAGATAGGGATGCGTGGATCGCTGAAGGTGCCTTCAAGAGAGAATGGAATGGAATATAGATGTCAGGTTTCGATGCTATCTCAAAATAAATGAATTTCCAAACTGCCGATCTTTGAGGAAATTTTCTCTTTATTGAGCATAGCGATCTGTCCCTGGCTCTTTCGCGGTCAGTACTGACCTTTGCCCCCCAATCCCTCCCTTTCCGATCCCCAGTTCTCTGCTTCTCATTGGCTATCTTCCAAGCCACTTTCCTCATCCCTTCTCCGTCAGATCACAGGAATGTCCCCCCTCCTCCCATCTCTGAGGAGACAGAATCTTCAAAAGAATTAAGTAGGCAAAAGTTCAAGCTTCTCCTCTCCTTATATATGTCAGTGCTGGGACGCTGACAATAGATAGAAAATAGAATAGAAAATAGAGAATAGAATAGAATAGAAGAGAAGAGAAGAGAAGAGAAGAGAAGAGAAGAGAAGAGAAGAGACGATGCTATTCCCCAAAGCTCCTGAAGGCCAGACAAGGAATAATGGATGGAAACTGAACAAGGAGAGATTCAACCTGGAAATAAGGAGGAATTTCCTGACAGTGAGAACATTTAACCCATGGAACAGAAGTTGCCTTTGGAAGTTGTGGGAGCTTCATCACTGGAGGCTTTCAAGAAGAGACTGGACTGCCATCGGTCAGAAATGGTGTAGGCAGGATCTCCTGGTTGGGCGAGGGGTTGGACTAGATGAGTTACAAGGTCCAACTCTGTTAATCTGTATATCTGTATATTCCGAGCCAAAGGACCTGGACACCAGTTCCAAATTTTATCTACCCTGGGATCCAAAATATGAGTGTGACCGTGACTTCTCAAGGCCGTTTTGTGTGGGTGGGGTGGGGGCAGGTTTCCACCCCTGCTTGGAACGAATGGATTTTCTACACACCTCTTACCTTGTTTGTGGAAAATCTGGCTTCGTGCCCTCTCGGGTGTTTTTCACCCCACAGATAACAAAATCTCCGTTTTTGGCACTATTTCCTTTTGAAAGAACCGAGGAGAACTTCACAGGTAGTCCTGAACCTAGAACCGTCCGTTTAATCTTGATTCAAATTTACGACGGCTTTGAAAAAGTGCCTTACGACTTGCCTGCAGTCCCGCGACAGTAATTTTGGGTGCTTGACAAGGGGCATCGACAATCAGTTGCAGTGTCCTGAAGTCACGTGACAGGGATTTGGGACCCGTTTCTGGCAAAAAGACATCCATTTGGGGATTCGGGATTGGGTTAACAACCGGATGATTCGCTTTATGACCGACGTAAAAAAAATGGGCATATCATTAGGTCCGGTCCCCTGATAATTTAATGTATGACCTCAGTGACTTAACGATGGAAATTCCACTCCCACTTGTGGTTGTTAGTTGAGGACTATAATTGAGACTGGAATTAGTCCTCAAGAACTATTCATTTAATGACCGTTTACAGTTTTTCACACTTACGACTGTTGCAGCATCCCTGTTGTCACGTGATCAAAATTTGGATGCTTGGCAGCTGGATCATATTTATGACGGTCGCAGTGTCCTGGGATCATGTAATCCCTTTTACGACCTCCTGACAAGCAAAGTCAACGTGGAAGGCCGATTCACTTAACAACCATGTTACTCACTTATCAACTGCAGTGATTCACTTAACAACCGTGGCAAGAAAGGTCGTAAAATGGGGCAAAACTCACTTAACCAATGTCTCGCTTCACAACAGAAATGCTGGGCTCAATTGTGGTCGTAAGCCGAGGACCACCTGTAGATAAATACTCCAGTTGTGGTTTATTACACCTGGTTGATTTTGTGAATTGCACCTGTAGGCGCATGATCTGCGAATAAGGGGAGGGTTTAGATTGCTGTGCCAAGACACACACCCCTCCCCAATTCCTGGTCACATCCAAAAAGATTGCTTAATAGTGAGTCACCTTCCCTTGTATTATGTTTTAACAAGGCACCTTGCAGAGGTTCCAATATCTCAGGGGCTGCCCCAAAGAAGAGGGGGGGTCAAAATATTCTCAAAAGCACCTGAAGGCAGGAGAAGCAGCAACGAATGGAAACTAATCAAGGAGAGAAGCAACTTAGAATTAAGGAGAAATTTCCTGACAGGGAGAACAATTAATCAGTGGAACAATTTGCCTCCAGAAGTTGTAAATCCTCCAACAGTGGAAATTTTTAAGAAGAGATTGGATAACCCTTTGTCTGAAGTAGTGTTGGGTTTCCTGCCTGGGCAGGGGGTTGGACTAGAAGACCTCCAAGGTCCCTTCCAACTCTGTTATTCTATTTCTATTCTATTCATCTCATTTCATTTCATTTCACAATTATTCTGTTCTATTCATTTCATTTCATTTCATTTCACTATTCTATTCATTTCATTTCACTATTATTCTGTTCTGTTCTGTTCTATCATTTCATTTCTCTATTCTATTCTGTTCTGTTCTGTTCTATTCTATTCTATTCTATTCTATTCTATTCTATTCTATTCTATTCTATTCTATTCTATTCTATTCTATTCTATTCTATTCTATTCTATTCTATTCTATTCTATTCTATTCTATTCTATTCTGTACTATTCTGTGCCATAATTCCCAGCTAATATGATCTTTGCCTGGAGAATTCTGGGAGTTGAAGTGTACCAATATTTGGGGGAAGGGAGCGTATTTGTTAATTCCACCCCTTCTTTTGGCAAGTTTAAGCTGCCCTATCCTTGGTAAATGTCCCAAAATACACTTCTCTTTACTTGGGCAACCAAAAGCCCTTGGCAGAGAAAGATCGTTAAATAAATAATGCAACATTTTGGGTGCGCTTCAAGGTTTTGGTTATCACCTTTAAAGCGCTCCATGGCTTAGGACCTGGTTATTTACGGGACCACCTGCTACCACCAATAGCCTCCCACTGGCCAGTACGCTCCCATAGAGAGGGGCTCCTCTGGGTGCCATCGGCCAAACAATGTCGACTGGCGGCCCCCAGGGGGAGAGCCTTCTCTGTGGGGGCACCTACTATCTGGAATGAGCTCCCCCTGGAGATACGGAGGATCCTGGATCTGCGCATCTTCCGTCGCGCGCTCAAGATTTTTTTATTTCATCAAGCTGGCCTGGCCTAAATCTTTTCCCCTTTTAAATGTAAATTTTAATTTGTTTTTAAATTATTGGGTATTTTAAATTTGTCTCAGCCAAATTATTTAATTCGTTTTTATTCTATTTTAAATTTTTGTATTTATGTGTTTTATTCTGTGGCTGTTCACCACCCTGAGTCCTTCAGGAGTAGGGCGGTATATAAATCCAATAAAAAACAAAACAAAAAAAAAACATTTATCAAACCATGGAAGGCAACCCTGGGTATATTCAAAATATTCAGAATAACAGAATAACAGAGTTAGAAGGGAAGGGACCTTGGAGGTCTTCTAGTCCACCCCCTATACCAGGGGTGAAATCCAACAGGTTCTGACAGGTTCTGGAGAACCGGTAGCGGAAATTTTGAGTAGTTCGGAGAACCGGCAAATACCACCTCTGGCTGGCCCCAGAGTGGGGTGGGAATGGAGATTTTGCAATATCCTTCCCTCAGGAGCGGGGAGGGAATGGGGATTTTGCAACATCCTTTCCCTGGAGTGGGGTGGGAATGGAGATTTTGCAGTATCCTTCCCCTGCCACGCCCACCAAGCCACGCCCACAGACCCGGTAGTTAAAAAAAAATGAATTTCACCACTGCCCTATACCGCTCTGAACAAATGGCCGTCCAATCTCGTCTTAAAAAACTTCAATCCCCTCAGCCAACGTGGTGGATGCGGGGGAGCATGCTGGGAATTGTAGTTCAGCATCTCCTGGAGCAGGGGTCTCCAGCCTTGGCAACTTTAACACTTGTGAACTTCAACTCCCAGAATTCTGACTCCCAGAACTCTGGGAGCTGAAGTCCGCCCCAGCTCCGGATTCCCAAGGATTGTGACCCACACCAACGGTCCTTATCAAAGTTATAACGTACCAAGAATAAACAAAATCCGGCAAAGGTTGGCAACCAGCCCAGAAGACAAGATACGATAAGACACTCACTCTTCAAAATGCTCTGTAATAATTACACGTTGTTTCCAGCAAGAAATTACTAACGGCGTGCGACTTAAATAGGCTAAGGAAATGGTCAATTATCCTCAAACCTTACTCTCGAGGAGACCTCCTCCTCCTCCTGAGTAGCCACTCCTGCCTTTTGGCAGCCCTTCGTGCTCGAGCATTGAGGAGAGGCTCCTCCACTTCGCTCTCTCCACTTGAAGGAGCCTCTGGAGGTTCTGAAGGCCCTGGCTGAGTCTCTGCCTCTGGCACCACATCCTCTTCAGCCTCCTCGCTGTCCGACGCGAACGCTGGCTGCGCAGGCTGCTGGCGCGACCCCACACCAGCCTCCTCGTCGGCGGGATCAGCCACGATCCGCGCAGGCCGCTGGCGGGCCACAACAACAAGTCTTAAAGTTGCCAAGGTTGGAGACCCCTGTTTTGGAGGGGCCGAGGCTTCCTGTCCCTGCAGCTTTTAACCACGGAGTGGTGGCTTTATCTCAACTGAGCCAGCATCAAATTGATTTAGTGATGGAAATAGTTATAGTTAGTTAGTTTATAGTTTATTTGATTTGTATACTGCCCTACTCCCGAAGGACTCAGGGCGGTGAACAGCCAACAATAAAATACATAAATACACAAAATTTAAAAACCCGATAAAATCAAATTAAATTATTTGGCCCAGACAAATTAAAATACCCCAATAATTTAAAAACAGATTAAAATTTACGTATTTAAAAAGGGAAGAGATCAGGCCAAGCCCGCTTGATGGAATAAAAAGGTCTTCACAGCACGGCGGAAGGAGCGCAGATCCGGGATCCTCCGTATCTCCGGGGGGAGCTCATTCCAGATGGTAGGTGCCCCCACAGAGAAGGCTCTCCCCCTAGGGGCCGCCAGTCGACACTGTTTGGCTGACGGCACCCGGAGGAGTCCCTCTCTATGAGAGCGTACTGGCCGGTGGGAGGCTATTGGTGGTAGTAGGCGGTCCCGTAAATAACCAGGCCCTAAGCCATGGAGCGCTCTAAAGGTGGTAACCAAAACTGTGAAGCGCATCCGGAAGACCACCGGGAGCCAGTGCAGCTCGCGCAGGACAGGTGTTACATGGGAGCGCCATGTCGCTCCCATTACCACCCGCGCGGCCGCACTCTGCGCCAGTTGGAGCCTCCGGGTGCTCCTCAAGGGGAGCCCCATGTAGAGAGCATTACAATAGTCCAGGCGGGAGGTGACGAGGGCATGAGTGACCGTGCGTAACGATAGATTCCTGGGGTGGGGTTGGTTGGACTAGATGACCTCTGTCCTTCCTTCCAAACCGTCCATTCTATGTTTCTTGCCAGCTGGAGATGGCATTTTCTCAACCCAGGTTGACCAAACCGGGTGAAAAGGACAGAATGACCGAATAACAGAATTGGGAGGGACCTTAGAGGTCTTCTAGTCCAACCCCCTGCCGCCCAAGCAGGAGACCCTGCCCTATACCAGTTCAGGCAGACAGATGGTTGTCCAATCTCTTCTTAAAAACCTCCAGTGATGGATGGCACATCCGTAACTTCTGGAGGCAAGTTACGCTGGTTAATTGTTCCCCCCCACCCGGTCAGGACATTTCTCCATTATTTCTAAATTGGACCTCTTCCCTGAGAAGATTCTCATTTTAAATACAAAACGGGTTAAAGAAAAATTCTGTGCCAAGATGCGAGTATAATGATTTGCAGATTTGAGACAGGTTTGGGCCGTGTTTATGGGGAACTGGGAATGTTTTCTGGTTGGGACATTTCCAAAAATATTTAACTGTTCTTGCTGTGCAAAAAGTTTGGAACCTTTTATTTGATTTGGGAAGGTAGTTTGGAGAAGGGGACATATTTGAAGCTTCAACGGTGCGCCGAGAGTCCATTGCCCAAATCTGCCCAAAATTAACCTGGGATACAGGCAGTCCTTGACTTACGACTGTTTGTGTAATGACCATTTAAAGTTATAACATCCCTGAAAAAGTGACTTTCCATTAGTCCTCCCACTTACAACATCGTCATGGTCACATGATCAAGATCCAAGCCCTTGGCAACTACTAGGTACCGTATTTACGACGGTTGCATTGTCCCAGGGTCATGGGAACACCGTTTCAATCAACCAATCAATCAGAATGGAGCTGGAAGGGACCTTGGAGGTCTTCCAGTCCAGCCCCCTTCTCAAGTAGGAGAACTTATACCATTTCAGACAAGTGAGTGTCCAGTCTCTTCTTAAAAAAACCTCCAGTGTTGGAGCATTCACAACTTCTGGTGGCAAGCTGTTCCACTGGTTAATTGTCCTCACTGTTAGGAAGTTTCTCTTTAGTTCCAGGTTGCTTCTCTCCTTGATGAGTTTCCATCCGTTGTTTCTTGTTTTGCCGTCAGGGGCTTTGGAGAATAGGTTGACCCCCTCTTCTTCGTGGCAGCCCCTCAAATATTGCAATACTGCTATCATGTCCTCCCTTCCCCTTCTTTTCTCTAGACTAGCCAAACCCAAATTCTGCAACTGTTCTTCATATGTTTTAATATCCATAAGAATAGAATAGAATAGAATAGAATAGAATAGAATAGAATAGAATAGAATAGAATAGAATAGAATAGAATGAAAGAATAGCATAGCATAGCATAGCATAGCATAGCATAGAATACAGAATGGAATAGAGTAGAATGAATAGAATGAAAGAATAGAATAGAATAGAATAGAATAGAATAGAATAGAATAGAATAGAATAGAATAGAATAGAATAGAATGAATGAATAGAATAGAATACCGAATGAATAGAATGAATGAATTGAATAGAATGAATGAATAGAATAGAATAGAATAGAATAGAATAGAATAATAGAATAGAATAGAATAGAATAGAATAGAATAGAATAGAATAGAATAGAATAGAATAGAATTAATGGAATGGAATGGAATAGAACAGGACAGGACAGGACAGGACAGGATAGGATAGGATAGGATAGGATAGGACAAGACAGGACAGGACAGGACAGGACAAAACAGAACAAAACAGAACAGAACAGAACAAAACAGAACAGAACAACAGAATTGGAGGTCATCTCCAAGCCTTTAATCAACTTAGCTGCTCTTCTCTGCACGTTTTCCAAAGTCTCAACATCTTCAACGAATACGTTACTTTTTGTCAGTGCCGTTGTAATTTTCGAACGGCCATTAAAACGGACGGTCGTAAGTCGAGGAGTACCTGTGTTCGAAATCCCTCTCCCAAAGAGCTCCTCCCCCCTTCCTTTGACCAAACTGGCACTCCTGGCTGTGCCCGCCTTCCATCCAGCGCCAGCCTTACAATCTCTGGGCAAGTAAACATATTTATTGCTGCAAGGGTTATTTTTTTTCCCCCCATCCCCTCCGGGGACAAAGTGCAATTAAACCGCAGAGGAATTTTAAAGAAATTCCTCCCCTTTGCGGCTCAGGTAGCTTTTTAATTACCAGCTCTAAACGTCTTCTGTGCGTGGCACTTTTATTGTTCCTTTGGGACAGGGTTCATTAACTGGTAGTCCTCGACTTACGACTGCAATTGAGCCCAAGCATTTCTGTTGTCAAGCGAGACATTGGTTAATTGAGTTTTGCCCCATTTTACGAGCTGTCTTGCCGCGGTTGTTAAGCGGATCACTGCAGTTGATAAGCGAGGAAGACGGTTGTTAAGTGAATCGGGCTTCCCCGTGGACTTGGCTTGTCCGAAGGTCGTAAAAGGGGATCATGTGACCCCAGGACACTGCGACTGTCATAAATATGAGCCAGCTGCCAAGCATCTGAATTTTGATCATGTGACAACAGGGATGCTGCAATGGTCGTAAGTGTGAAAAACTGTAAACGGTCACTAAATGAATAGCTGTTGAGGACTAATTCCAGTCTCAATTATAGTCCTCAACTTACAACCACAAGCGAGAGTGGAATTTCCATCGTTCAGTCACTGAAGTCATAAGTTAAATTATCATGTGACCGGACTGATGATACGCCCATTTTTTTACGTCGGTCATAAAGCGAATCACCCGGTCGTTCAACCAATCCAGAATCCCCAAATGGATGTCTTTTTGCCGGAAAACCGGTCCCAAATCCCTGTCATGTGACCTCAGGACGCTGCAACTGGTTGTCGATGGCCCTTGTCAAGCCCCCAAAATTACCGTTGCGGGACTGCAGTGGTTGTGCGACAGTCATACAGGCAAGTCATAAGAAGGGATTTGCTTAACGATGGGAAAAAAAGGATGTAAAACGGGGCCAAACTCACTTCACAATTCTCTTGCTTAACAGCAGAAATTTGGGGCTCAATCGTGGTCGTAAGTCGAGGACCACCTGTGTCAGCAATTTTCTGATTAGAACTCACCGCAGTTTTGGATTTGTGGAAAATTAGCTTTGGAAAACAGAAGTATTGCCGAGAACTTTCAACTCCTGCAACCTAAGTGAAGGACATTCCATTTTTCCTTTGAGGAAATCCTTGCAAGATGAAATAATTTCCAACCTGCAGGGATGAAATGCTCCCGGTTCGGACCGGATCACCTGATCCGGTAGCGATGGCGGCGGGTGGTTCGGAGAACCGGTAGCAAAAATCCCTGCGCGCCCCCCCATGCCCAGCTGAGCCACACGATCATCAGAGGCTTTTTTTTTTTTACTTTTAAAAGCATTTTTTCTACAACCTCTTTTGATGAAAAAATGTTTTTAAAAGTAAAAAAAAAAAAGCTTCTGATGATCGCGCGGCTCAGCTGGGATCGTCAGAGGCTTTTCAAAGCATTTTTTCTGCAACCTCTTGGCCGAAGAGGTGGTTAAAAAAAAATGCTTTGAAAAGTCTCTGACGATCCCAGCTGAGCCGCGCGATCATCAGAGGCTATTATTATTTTTTATTATTTTTATTATTTTATCATATTTGTATACCGCCCTACTCCCAAAGGACTCAGGGCGGTGAACAGCCAAGGTAAAATACAATGACATACAAAAGTTAAAAAACTATTAAAAACAGATTAAATAATTTAGGCTCAAAAAACAAACTTAAGGCATCCGATTTATCTAAAAGCATTTTAAACCCAATTTAAAAGGGAGAGTTAGGCCAGACCAGCCTGTTGGAATAAAAACGTTTTTAGGGCGCGGCGGAAGATGCGTAAGTCTTGGATCCTCCGTATCTCCGGGGGGAGCTCGTTCCAGATGGCTAGAAAAAATGCTTTGAAAAGTTAAAAAAAAAAAAAAAAGTTGGCCACACCCATCAATCACATTACCCCACCCACCACCACTAAGCCACACCCACAGAACCGGTAGTAACACATTTCACCCCTGCCAACCTGGATTAATTTTCTCTTCTCTTTTCCTCCAGGTATTATATGCACCATTATCCTCATATATATGCTTTGCACAGACTGTTGGATTATAGCAGTTCTATACTTGGTGTGGTACGCCTTCGACTGGAACACTCCTAGTAAGGGTAAGTGTCAGTCCTGCCCCAATCCGCTCCCTTAGGAAAGAAAGACCCTCGACTCCCTTGGGTTAAAGCAAAGGATTCTTTTTACTAAGGATGTGGGTTGCAGTAAATTCAAGCCGACTCTGAAATCTTCCACGTTTCCTAGATACAAAAACAAGGTGTAGGTTGGCCCACAACCCGTCCATCCGCCCCGTGACCAGTCCGTTTCCAGATATTTCAGAACTTTTTTGAGAGGTTTGGGGATAATCTGCATATTTCTCAAAGGTGCTTGGCCATGGGATGCTGGTACAAATAAGATCTGGCTGCTTGTCCTTCTCACCTGTCATTCCCCCCGCCCCCCCAATTTCCTGTCGCATATCCACAAAGCTCTACAGCCTTTTCATCCTTCTCTCCTTCTTCACCCTTCCTTCCTTCCTTCCTTCCTTCCTTCCTTCCTTCCTTCCTTCCTTCCTTCCTTCCGTCCGTCCTTCCTTCCTTCCTTCCTTCCTTCATTCCCTCCCTCCCTCCCCCTTCCTTCCTTTCTTCCTCCCTTTCCTTCCTTCCTTCCCTCCTTCCCTCCCTCCTTTCCTTCCCTCCTTCCTTCCCTCCCTCCCTCCTTCCTTTTTCCTTCCCTCCCTCCTTCCTTCCCTCCCTCCTTCCTCCCTTCCTTCCCTCCCTCCCCCCTCCCTCCCTCCTTCCTTCCCTCCTTCCTTCCCTCCCTCCCTCCTTCCTTCCTTCCTTCCCTCCCTCCCTCCTTCCTTCCTTCCTTCCCTCCCTCCCCTTCCTCCTTCCTTCCTTCCTTCCTTCCTTCCTTCCTTCCCTCCCTCCCTCTTTCCTTCCTTCCTTCCTTCCCTCCTTCCCTGTCTCTCTTTTTCCTTCTCCTTCCTTCCTTCCTTCCTTCCTTCCTTCCTTCTTCCTTCTTCCTTCTTCCTTCCCTCCCTCCCTCCCTCCTTTCTTCCTTCCCTCCTTCCTTCCTTCCTTCCCTCCCTCCCTTCCTTTCCTTCCTTCCCTCCTTCCCTGTCTCTTTTTCCTCTTCCTTCCTTCCTTCCTTCCTTCCTTCCTTCCTTCCTTCCTTCCTTCCTTCCTTCCTTCCTTCCCTCCCTCCCTCCCTCTTTCCTTCCTTCCTTCCTTCCCTCCTTCCCTGTCTCTCTTTTTCCTTCCTTCCTTCCTTCTTCCTTCTTCCTTCTTCCTCCTTCCTTCCTTCCTTCCCTCCCTCCCTCCCTCCTTTCCTTCCTTCCCTCCTTCCTTCCTTCCTTCCCTCCCTCCCTTCCTTTCCTCCTTCCCTCCTTCCCTGTCTCTTTTTCCTTCCTTCCTTCTTCCTTCCTTCCTTCCTTCCTTCCTTCCTTCCCTCCCCTCCCTCCCTCCCTCCTTCCTTCCTTCCCTCCTTCCCTGTCTTTTTCCTTCCTTCCTTCCTTCCTTCCTTCCTTCCTTCCTTCCTTCCTTCCTTCCCTCCCTCCCTCCCTCTTTCCTTCCTTCCTTCCTTCCCTCCTTCCCTGTCTCTCTTTTTCCTTCCTTCCTTCCTTCCTTCCTTCCTTCCTTCCTTTCTTCCTTCCTTCCTTCCTTCCTTCCCTCCTCCCTCCCTCCTTTCCTTCCTTCCCTCCTTCCTTCCTTCCTTCCCTCCCTCCCTTCCTTTCCTTCCTTCCCTCCTTCCCTGTCTTCCTTCCCTCCCTCCCTCCTTCTTTTTTCCTTCCCTCCTTCCTTCCCTCCCTCCCTCCTTCCTTCCTTCCTTCCTTTCCTCCCTCCCTCCCTTTCCTTCCTTCCTTCCTTCCCTCCCTCCTTCTTTCCTTCCCTCCTTCCTTCCCTCCCTCCCTCCTTCCTTTTTCCTTCCCTCCCTCCTTCCCTCCTTCCTTCCCTCCCTCCCTCCTTCCTTCCTTCCTTCCTTCCCTCCCTCCCTCCTTCCTTCCTTCCCTCCCTCCTTCCTTCCTTCCTTCCTTTCCTCCCTCCCTCCCTCCCTCCTTCCTTCCTTCCTTCCTTCCTTCCCTTCCTCCCTCCCTCCCTCCCTCCTTCCTTCCCTCCTCCCCTCCTTCCCTCCTTCCTTCCTTCCTTCCTTCCTTCCTGCCTGCCTGCCTGCCTGCCTGCCTGCCTGCCTGCCTTCCTGCCTGCCTGCTTCTGATGGCAGGATGCCTGTGAGGCGCAAAGCCGAACTAGGCAAAGCTGACAGTAAGGGATGTCTGGTAATTCTGCAATTTTTTAAAAAATCTGCAAAGGACTTTTTCCCCCTTCTTTAAGAGAGTTGTGCAGGTAGTCCTCAACTTAGGACTCTAATTGAGCCACAATTGTAACTTGTGACGGTCGTTAAGTGGCTCATCATATGACTGTGCCGGATTTTACAACCTTTTTGCGGCGGTCTTTAAAGAGAGCCCATCGTTCCCTGTGGTGTTTTTTTTTTCCAGAAAGCCAAAGTCGACCCCGGTTTTCCACTAAAAATGTTATAAATGGCAGTCAGTCCTGGCATCTTTAAGACCAGCGAACTTCGAACTCGCAGAGTTATTCTGTATTCTGTGTCTTCAGATGCCGAGGTAGAAATGTATGAGAAGAAATAGTTCCCCCCCCTCCCAGATATATAGTCCTAAACCAGGATGATCCAAACCCCAAACCAGGGAAAATAGGTGGTTTTGCATTGATGCTTGTTAACTATATTTCTGATTTGAGCATCATGGTTAACTAAATTAGCTTCACCAAAATGACATTTGGCTGCACCTTCCTTGTTTATCTCGTTGTTGTTGTTAGTCGCGAAGTCGTGTCCGACACATCGCAACTCCATGGACAACGTTCCTCCAGGCCTTCCTGTCCTCTACCATCCCCCGGAGTCCATTGAAGCTCACGCTGACTGCTTCAGTGACTCCATCCAGCCCCCTCGTTCTCTGCCGTCCCCTTCTTCTTTTGCCCTCCATCGTTCCCAGCAATAGGCTCTTCTCCAGGGAGTCCTTCCTTCTCATTACATGGCCAAAGCGTTTGAGTTTCCTCTTCAGGATCTGGCCTTCTAGAGAGCAGTCAGGGTTGATCTCCTCTAGGACCGACCGGTTTGATGGATGGCCTTGCAGTCCAAGGGACTCGCAGGAGTCTTCTCCAGCACCAGAGTTCAAAGGCCTCCATTCTTTGGCGCTCCGCCTTCCTTATGGTCCAACTTTCACAGCCATCCATTGCAACTGGGATGATTATACACACTTTTGTTGGCAGGGTGATTATATCCTTGTTTATATCCTCTCTCAGTCTTTTCTCTTCTTATTTTTTTTTTCAAAGCTGGAAGGAGATCACAGTGGATTAGGAACTGGGCCATCTGGAGGTACTTCCGGGATTACTTTCCAATCCGAGTGAGTTGCTGAGATGTTTTTATCAGAGATTATTTCAATTAAGCGTTAAAATAATTGGGGGGCGGGTGTTATTTCTTTATTTTTTAATTTATTTGTAGAATTTCTTGGCCGCCCATCATATCACAGGATAGCTTTGGGCAGCTTACAATCTTAAAAAAAAAAAAGAAGATAAAAACGATCCTTTGACAGGAAGTCCTCGACTTACGGCCAGAATTGAGACTGAAACTTAGGTGGCTAAGCAGAACGGTCGTTAAGTGAGTCTTGGCCAATTTTACGACCCTTTTTGGGCCATGGTTGTTAAGTGAATCTCGCTTTTGCCACTGACTTTATTGAAAGCCCCCGGGGAGGCCATTAAACGGCAGTAACGTGACCCCCAGGATGCTGCAACCTGATTGCCAAGCACCTGAATTTCGATCATGTGACCTTTGATAGTCGTAAGTGTGAGGACTGGTCACAAGTCCCTTTTTTCATTGCTTTCATAACTTGAACAGCCATTAAAAGAACGGTCATAAATTCGAGGACTACAGGTACATGCATGCTCCTGTGCCACGTGCATGCCAAGAAAGCTTGCGGTGTAACGAATGCGATGGCCGAACTACTAATTACACTTCCCAAGTGTGCCGATACGGAGGAGGTCCTCCAAGTATGGGTGCTGCTGCTGTGTTTCACTGCTCACTGCTAGGGATGGCCAGAGGGGGCGACATTGCGTCAACCGACTCAGCCGGTCTACCAATGAGTTTTATCAAAGCTCTATGGTAGCGTGTTTCAATCTTGGCACTTGGAAGAGGTTGTGGACTTCAACTCCCAGAATTCCCCAGCCAGCCATGCTGGCTGGGGAATTCTGGGAGTTGAAGTCCACACCTCTTCATGAGCCTTGGTAGTACAGGGGTTTAAGGCACCCTGTTATTAAGCTGGTTATTAAGACCAGCTGCCTGCAATTACTGCAGGGTTCGAATCTCGCCAAGGCTCAAGGTTGACTCAGCCTTCCATCCTTTCTAAGGTAGGTAAATTGAGGACCCAGTTGTGGGGGCAATAAGCTGACTTTGTATAAATATACAAAAGTATGAAGGCTATTGCTGAGCACATTGTAAGCCGCCCTGAGTCTTCGGAGAAGGGCGGCGCATATATATATAAATATATATATATAAATATAAACAAACAAACAAACAAACAAACAAACAAACAAACAAACAAACATTAATGTTTTTCTGCCCAGCACCTTATCTTCAAACATCTTGCTCAAATCGTGTCTGATCCCTGGCTTGAATTTCTCTCTTTTGTCTGCTCCTCCGAACTCTGCCTTTAACTTCCAAACTGGTTGAGCCGGAATTTGTTCGGGTTTTTCTGGAGGTTGTGCAAAACAGCATCGAGCCCTTATGGTAATGTGCAAAAAAATAAGTTTGCAGGATGAGAGTGGTTACAGCTTTTTCACTTTTCATTCCAACCCCGGGAAGCTCTTTAGAGCCCATTCCTTATATATGGCAAATATTTGGAGTGATGTCGCGCTGAAAACCCATAAACTCTGTATTTGATTGACGTCTAATGCTGGATGTGTCCTTACTGTGTTACTTCTTATAAAGTTCACAGAGAAAATGAAATTTCCAAGTGGGGAAGAAAGACCCTGGAAACATGGGGGCTGCTTGGAAGGATGGTTTTTAATGGTGGACAGGATCACCTGCCTTGAAGATCTTATTTATTTTATTCAATTTGTATACCGCCCTTCTCCTAGTGGACTCAGGGCGGTGCACAGCCAAAACTAACATAACAACACAAAATTAAAATTATTAAAAGAATTATATACTTTGGCCTAATTTTAAAGCAATTCGAATTAAAACCCATTGACAGATTAAAAGCTAAACAACTAAAAAACTAAAAAAAAAAAAGAGGGGGGGGTTTCACGCCAGCCCTGCTTGATGGAAAAGAAAAGTTTTCAGGGCACGGCGAAAGACCCGGAGATCCGATATCCTTCTTATCTCCGGGGGCAAATCTTGGGCGAAGAAGCAAAAAAAGGGGAAGCGATGCTGAGAGTGCCTGGGGTTTATGCCCTCTCTGGGATTTTGAATTTGAGCTTGTGTTCTGATTGGTGGTCAGACTCCCATGGGGGCCATGCAGGGGTCACTTTGTAGGTTGTGCTTTTGAGTCCCAAGCTTGGTTGAGCCTTGCCGGGTAATGATGTAATGAAAGAGCTTTGGGGTTCCTATTATGGCTCTGCCTGAAGGAGGTAGATCTTTGTTATGTAGCCCAGGCCTTAATGGCCCAATGACAAAAATGGGGGGGCTATGTTTCTGCCTCCCTTTTAGGGGAAATATTCTTGCCCTTTTAATATTTCCTAAAATATCTCATTTTTCTAGGAGAGGGGTGGGTGCTAACTTCCTACACCCTCTCACAGTTACTGCTGTTGAGCCAGGTGCCACCTATTCTATATCTGTATATGTGTTTTTTTTTCTTGCCTAAGTGCGTAAAACCTTACTTTTCTTACTACTGAATTGTGTTTTCTTAGATAAGGCCAGTGGTGGGATTCAGCCACTTCGGGAGAACCGGTTGTTAACTTTCTGAGCAGTTTGGCAAACTGGTTGTTAGAAGAAATCATTAGGGCAGAGAACCGGTTGTTAAATTACTTGAATCCCACCACTGGATAAGGCCCAGTGTTTAACTCTGTTTATTTATTATTTATTATTTATTTATTAGTTTGATTTATATATGCCGCCCTTCTCCAGAGACTCAGGGCGGCTTACAATGCGTTAAGCAATAGCCTTCATACTTTTGTATATACCTGCTTAGTAGGGCTTTCGCCCCCCCCCAAAGCGGTGTTCTATTTTATACAAAGTCAGCTTATTGCCCCCACAATCCGGGTCCTCATTTTACCTACCTCGAAAGGATGGAAGGCTGAGTCAACCTTGAGCCTGGTGAGAATTGAACTCGCAGTAATTGCAGGCAGCTGGCAGCTAAGTACTACTTTAACAGCAGCAGCAGTTTAGTCCACTGCGCCACCAAGTCTGTTGAGATCCTCCAGGTGCTTTGGAGAATAGGTTGACCCCCTGTTCTTTCTGGCAGCCCCTGAGATATTGGAAGACAGCTATCACATCACCCGTAGTCCTTCTTTTCATCAAACTAGACATACCCAATTCCTGCAGCCATTCTACTGTATATACATTTTAGTCTCCAGTTCCTTAATCATCTTTGTTGCTCTTCTCTGCACTCTTTCTAGAATCTCCACAATTTTTTTTTTTTTTAATATTGTGGCGACCAAAACTGAATGCAATATTCCAAGCGTGGTCTTACCAAGGCCTTATAAAGTGGTGTCAACACTTCTCGTAATCTTGATTCTATTGCTCTGTTAATGCAGCCTAGGATTGTGTTGGCTTTTTTGGCAGCTGCAGCACATGGCTGGCTCATATTTAAGTGATTGTCCATTAGGACTCCAAGAATCCCTATTTCACGTACTGCTAATGAGCCAGGTACTATCCCAAAGGTGCTTTTTCAAGAAGCAGCTGGACTTTGTTTTTTCTTGAAGATGTTTCACTTCTCATCCAAGAAGCTTCTTCAGGGGACTTCCGGTTTGGCGTCGCGGGGATGCAGTCAGGGAAATGGCAGGGCTCTGATGAGCCCCGCCAAAATCCCGACTGACTAACTGCCGCTGACAGGTCTGTGGACCTACCCTCTCCTGAAGGGACAGGGAAAAAGAGAAGGACCCCTTGGGTGGCTGAGAGGAAGAGCAAGTTCCTCGGAGGCCGGAGGCAACCCTCTAAGTCAGCGGCGGGGGACGGCAGCCATGGCGGCTGCCTCGAGACTGTGACAGATCAGGACAAGCAAAGTACAGGAGGAAGGAAGAAAGGACGAAAAGCTTCGGAGCCGGGTGAGTGACACAAGCCCAGGCGAGAACAACGTGTTAAAGAGGATATTAATAAATAAGACCCCCAGCCTTACTTAGCGGCTGAACATCTGAGCGGCTTGGAGATTTTGGGGGGAAAAAAAGGGGGAAAGAAGTTTTAAACCCTTTAAGAATCTTTATTTCAGCACTGATTGATTGGAGGGAATTGCTTATTAACAGAGCTGGATATTTGAACTTTCTTTTTAAAACTGAAATGAACTTGAAAAGAGAAAAGCGAAATTAAGGATTTGCCACCTTTAAAAGACAGACAAAGAGATCAAACGAGAAAGTCCAGTTGCTTCTTGCAAAAAGCACATATGAGACAATCGTGACCCGAATGACGGAGAATCTCTACAGATTTTTGAGCCAGACATTACCTATTCTATACCTGTGCATTTGGTTGTTCTTGCTTAAATGTACAACTTTACTTTTCTCATCACTGAATTGCATTTTGTTAGATAGAGCCCAAGGTTCAAATCTGTCAAGTTCCTTCTGTATCTTGAAGGAACTTGACAGGCTCCTCCTGTTCCTCTGCCTCACTCCTATCAGTCTCTGGAGGCTCCGGAGTCCGCACCTCACTCCCCGATGGCCCTGGCCCCATCTCTGCCTCCGACGCAGAGCTCTCATCCAGGCCTTCCCCAGACTCCAGGACTGGCCCACATTCTTCCTCAGCCTCATCGCTGTCCGACTCCGCTGCCAGCTCCTCAGGCTGCTGGCAGACCACAACACCCTCTGGTAGTTCCCCAGTGCTCCAGGATCTTGGAAAGATATGTGGGTTACGAGAGCTTACATGGGTTGGGTCAGAACCATCGAATCCTATTCTTGCTCTACGGCAAAAACTTAACACGTTGGGACTGAAAGATTCGCCTAGTTTGTGAACTTCTGCCCTGGGACTCGTTTGTCATCTTTATATATATATAAACAAGCTGAATTGTGACTTGCCTTTGGCTCCTATCAAAGGGCATCCTTTGATCTAGAGCTTTTCATTTGCTGCAGTCGGGTTTCTCCGGCTCCAGTGGTAAAAATACAGCGAATGAAGTCCAGACGTGACTTATCTCTCGGTGACGAAGACCCAATTTAAGTCTCAAAGTCTCTTAAAATAACTTCTTCGCAACAGCCGTGCTCTGCATTCCTGACCAGGGGTGAAATCTACTGACCTTCCCTACCGGTTCGGAAGTGCATACACCGCGCACACTCTTTCTCTCTCTTCACTCTCGTGTGTGTGCGCATTACATGTGTGCGCTGACCCTCTGTGCATGCACAGAGGGTAAAAAACAGGTTACTGTTAAAACCAGGAAGTGACGACCGGGCAAGTGGGCGGAGCCTTGAGCTGCTATCGCTATCGGTTTTCCGAACCGCCGGCCATCATCATTTGCCCGAACCGGGCCAAACCGGAAACATTTCACCCAGTGGTGGGATTCAAGTAATTTAACAACCGGTTCTCTGCCCTAATGATTTCTTCCAACAACCAGTTTGCCAAACTGCTCAGAAAATTAACAACCGGTTCTCCCGAAGTGGTGCGAACCGGCTGAATCCCACTACTGATTTCACCCCTGATCTTGACCCTTCCTCAGATTGCAGACAAATTCCTCGGGGTTCTTTGAAGCTTCAGTGATTTTGGTGAACCCCAGAAGTGGTCCTTTAAAAGAGCTTTTCCTTCCCTGAGGCTGGTGGGGAAATTTGGCGTTGGGGATATACAGGTGGTCCTTGACTTACGACCGCAATCGAGCCGTTGCTAAGCGAGACTGTCATTAAGGGAGTCTTTTTTCCCCCATGTTACCACCTTCCTTGCTGCAGTTGTTAATAATGGTTGGGAAATAAACCGGGGTTCCCCATTGACTTTGCTTGTTAGAAGGCCGCAAAAGGAGATCACATGACATTGCAACTGTCATAAGTACATGCCAGTTGCCAAGCGTTGCAATTTTGATCACGTGACCGCGCGGATGCTGCACCAGTCATAAGTGTGAAAAGTGGTTATAACTAAGACGCATTTTTCAGTGCCGTCGTAACTTCGAATGGTCACTAAATGAACTGTTATATAAGTCGAGGACTGCCTGTACTGATAGAAGAGAGTAGCTCAGGGTTTTGGTTCCTTGGTGCTCTCTGAGCTTGGTGGTTTCCTTGCAAACGTTTCATGACCAAACTAGGTAATGTCTTCAGTGCTAGAAGGGAAAGGAGTTTGCTTTTATTTTTATATACAGATAGTCCTCGACTTCCAACAGTTCGTTTAGTCATCGTTCAAAGTTACAACGGGATTGAAAAAAATGATTTATGACCGTTTTTCACACTTACAACCGCTGCAGCATTCCCATGGTCGTTGAAAGTGGTGGGTTTCAAATATTTTTACTACCGGGGCGTGGCTTGGTGGGCGTGGCTTGGTGGGCGTGGCAGGGGAAGGATACTGCAAAATCCCTATTTCCTCCCAATCAGCTGGGACATCCATCCATCCATCCATCCATCCATCCATCCATCCATCTATCTATCTATCTATCTATCTATCTTCATTTCCACCCCACTCCAGGGGAAGGTTACTGCAAAATCCCCATTTCTTCCCGATCAGCTGGGACTCGGGAGGCAGAGAATAGATGTGGGCGGGGCCAGTCAGAATTTTTACTACTGGTTCTCCGAACTACTCAAATTTTCCGCTACCGGTTCTCCAGAACTGGTCAGAACCTGCTGAAACCCACCTCTGCTCATTGATCAAAATTCAGAAGCTTGGCATCCGACTCATATTAATGACGGTTGCAGTGTCCCTCGGTCAAGTGAGCCACCTTTTGTGACCTTTTGACAAGTAGAAGTCAGTGGGGGAGCCAGATTCGCTTAGCAACCATGTGACTCACTTAACAACTACAGCAATTATGTATGAGGTAGCAGTGTGCGGCAGCAGCCAAAAAAAAGCCAATGCAATCCTAAATTGCATTAACAGAGGGATACAATCAAGATCAAGGGAGGTACTAATACCACTCTGTAAAGCCTTAGTAAGGCCACATCTAGAGTATTTCTTCCAGTTTTGGTCACCACGCTATAAAAAAGGATGTTGAGACTCTAGAAAGAGTGCAGAGAAGAGGAACCAGGATGATGAGGGGACTGGAGACTAAAACATAGGATGAACGGTTGCAGGAACTGGGCATGGCTAGTCTAGTGAAGAGAAGGACCAGGAGAGACATGAGAGCATCTTCCAATATTATTTGAGGGGCTGCCACAGAGAGGAGGAAGGGGGTCAAGCTATTCTCCAAAGCACCTGAAGGCCAGATAAGGAACGATGGATGGAAACTGAACAAGGAGAGTTTCAACCTAGAAATGAGGAGGAACTTTCTGACAGCGAGAACAATCAACCCATGGAAGAGAAGTTGCCTTCAGAAGTTGTGGGAGCTTCATCCCTGGAGGCTTTCAAGAAGAAACTGGACTGACATCTGTCAGAAATGGTGTAGGGTCTCCTGCTTGAGCGGGAGGTTGGACTAGATGACCTACAAGGTCCCTTCCAGCTGTATTCGGAATAATTGATTCAAGCTAGAAATAAGGATAAATTTTCTGACAGTGAGAACCATCAACTGATGGAACAGAAGTTGCCTTCAGAAGTTGTGGAAGCTTCATCCCTGGAGCCTTTCAAGAAGAGACTGGACTGCCATCTTTCATAAATGGTGTAGGATCTCCTGCTTGGGCAGGGGGTTGGATGACCTCCAAGGTCCCTTCCGACTCCGTTATTCCACCTGATTCGCTTAACAACTGTGGCAAGGAAGGTCGTAAGACGGAGCCACCGTTCACTCAACCCAATGGTCTCTCTTAGCAAACAGAAATTCGTTGGGCTCCGTGGAGGTCTGTCTGTTCCAGGGACAAAGCTTGTTGTTGTTTGGAGAACACAGGACATCCCCTTACGGTGCAAGGGGTGGATAGCGCGTTTATCTCTGACATTGCGTGTCGTGGCACCGAGACCTTTCCGTGGCTTCAGAAAGTACAAAGCGGACCGCTGAGCATCTGTGAGGCAGCTGGGACAGTTCAGTAAGAGTCCTGACTAGGTGGCTCAGTGGCTAAGACATTGAGCTTGTCGATCAGAAAGCTCGGCAGTTCGGCGGTTCGAATCCCTAGAGCAGGTCTCTTGCGTGAGCAGGGGGTAGGACTAGATGACCTCCAAGGTCCCTTCCAACTCTGTTACTGTCCTTTTTCCCCCCGCCCCCCCCCTTATTGTTCACGAAAGTTGCACGTGGCGGACAGCTGGTTACACAGGTGCCAAGGACCAAAGGTTACACATCGAGCTTGTTTGCTAACTTCGGGAGATAAAATATCTCCCGGGGAGTATGAAGCAATGGCTTTTTTCAGCCTGGTAATGTAAATTTCCAGTTTCATTTCATTTCATTCCATTTCATTTATTAAATTTTTATACCGCCCCTCTCCCGAAGGACTCGGGGCGGTGAACAGCCAGGATTAAAAAACATACAATATAAACATTAAAATACTTTAAAAACATAATTAAATCTATATTGGCTTCCCCCAATTTAAAACCCCTTACCCATAAAATTCCATCCTTCCGAGGTCGGTAAAATGAGGACCCAGATTCTTGGGGGCAAGAGGCTGACTCTGTAAACCGTTTAGAGAGGGCTGGAAAGCACTGTGAAGCGGTACATAAGTCTTAAGTACTACTAGTACTATACATAAAGCATACTTTATGTATACTTTAAGTTAGTGGATTTGAAATAGCTTGATTCAAAAAATTGGTCCAATCTAATGCGCTGTTTGTATTACGTGGAGGGAACAAACAGATAGGATAGTGTATAATATATGTGTTTCTTGTTGTTTTTTCCCCCTTTCCTTCTCTCCTTCCCCAGATGATCAAAACTCACAACCTGGCCCCCAATCGGAATTACATTTTTGGCTACCACCCGCACGGAATCATGTCCCTGGGTGCCTTCTGCAACTTTAGCACTGAGGCCACAGGAGTGAGCCAGATCTTCCCCGGGATACGTCCGTATGTCACCACACTCACGGGAAACTTCCGGTGGCCCATTCTGAGGGACTACTTGATGACCGGAGGTAAGGAGGAGAAAACCTGCTTTGGGTTGTCGAGCGATGCAGTTTTGTCTCGGGAGGAGAGCCCGTTGAATGCGTTGGATCTTCTAAGGCAGGAGTCTCTAACCGTGGCAACATTAAGGCAGGAGTGGGATTCAGCCGGTTCGGACCGGTTCGGATGTTAATTTTAATCTGGTTCGCCAAACTGGTAGTTGCAAGGACTGGCTGAACCCTCCCACCCGGCCCTGCCCCTCCCCTCCTAGGAGTCTCCATGCGGCCCGTTTTGGATGCCAGATAAATGCAGCGCCTGCGCGGAGACTCTGGGAGGGCGAAAAATGGGCCTTCTGGAAGTTCTGGAAATCCGGAAATGGGCCTGTTTCGGGCCTCCGGAGCCCAGGAGAGGCTGTTTTTACCCTCCTGGAGGCTCAAGGAAAATCTCCAGAGCCTGGGGAGGGTGAAAAACAGGCCTACCGGAAGTCTGGAAACAGGCTTGTTTCCGGCCTCCGGAGCCCAAGGGAGGCCATTTTCGCCCTCCCGGAGGCTCAAAAAAAGCCTCCGGAGCCTGGGGAGGGTGAAATGCCCCCCCCACGCCGTGATGCACGAGGCCGAGTAGGCCATGCCCACCCAGCAACCGGGCAGAGAACCCGTTGCTAAAATTTTTCAATCCCACCCCTGCTTTAAGGCCTGTGGACTTCATGGCTGGCTGGGGAATTCGGGGAGTTGAAGTCCACAAGTCTTAAAAGCTGCCAGAGTTGGAGATCCCTTGTTGTAAGTTGTAGAACTTGGAACTTTCTGAAAAGGACTGCGACGTTTAACCTTTGTTTATATGGGTTGGAGAAAAGGAAGAAAAACAATTGGAACCAGCAACTAGCTGTCCTTGGTTGTTCCTGGGAAGAAAATAAAGCAAAAAGAGTTTTGGAGTGGTTAGAAAATAGTAAGACTTGAAAGCTAAAGACCCAATCCAGAAGAACAGTGGCAAAACCATTTTTGCTACTAGGAAAACGACATGGATAATTGAGCCTCAGTGAAAATTCCTTGGTGCTCTCTGAACTGGGTTGATTTCTTGCAGACGTTTTGTTAAGGATATTCTTGGCTCATAACTGATGTTGTGGGTTATTGAGCAGAGTACCCTTTGAGTAAATGCATGAAAAGCGCCTGGGAGTGGTTGTGAACAATCACAGTCAACATACAAGCACACTGAGTTGTTGTAGTCTTTTACTTTTAGAAAAAGTAAAGCAAAGTCCAAAAACAATCCAAGTCATACACAGATAAGACGAGAGTTAAAAGATCAATCCAGGGATATTTCAAGTACAAAGTCTTCTTACCAGTTGTCGTCATACACAATAAAACAGTTCTTCTTGAGTTTCAAAACAGGAACAAGTTCAATATCAAAACATTCAATAAATAGTAGAAAGCAACATGTAGCTATGATCAAACAGTGATCATGCAGAGAGATCAGGTAGAGAGTTACAGCAAATAAGCAGGTAAAATGGTGTAGTGTCCACACAAGCCATGATCCTGACTTCCCTTAAGTACATTGGCTACAGAGCTTAGCCAATCAGGATACAGGATGATGCAATACAGTCTTAAAGCAATACAATACCTTTCTGACTGCAAACATACATTGTTGGTTTATATATTGCCTGACCAACTAGTTAGACAAATAACCATTTCCTAACACGTTTCATGACCCAACTAAGTAACATCACCAGTGCTGGAAGGGAGTGGGGTTTGCGGAGAGGAGGAGGAGGAGGAGGAGGAGGGTGGTGGTGTAGAATCGCTGTATGGTCCTTGGTGCTCTCTGAGCTTGGTTGTTTTCTTGCAGAAGTTTCATTACCCAACTAGGTAACATCTTCAATTGAGCTCCAATTGCGAGATCTTGTTTTTCTTGATAAACTTAGAAAATGCCATGTAATGCCTCTAATGCTGCAGCAGGTGGCAGCACTTGCTATCCTTGGTTGATCTTTAAAAAGCCAGGGAGATGGAAACGGCTTAATACAGATAGTCCTCCACTTACAGTGGTTCGTTTAGTGACCGATCAAAATTCATGTGAGTTTTGCCCCATTTTTCCACCTTTCTTACTGCACTCAAATTAGTAACACAGTTGTTAAGTGAATCTTGTTTCCCCATTGACTTTGCTTGTCAAAAGGTTGCAAAAAAACGATCATATGACCCCGGGACACTACAACCGTCATAAAGAGGAGCCAGTTGCCAAATGTTCAAAGTTTGATCATGTGACCTTTGTGTGTTGCAATGGTCGTAAGTCTGAAATAGGGTCGTGGGTCACTTTTTTCAATGCTGTTGTAACTTCAAACGGTCACTAAATGAATGATTGTAAGTCGAAGACATGGTCGTAAGTGTGAGAAAGGGTCATAAGTCACTTTTTTCAATGCTGTTGTAACTTCAAACGGTCACTAAATGAATGATTGTAAGTCGAAGACATGGTCGTAAGTGTGAGAAAGGGTCATAAGTCACTTTTTTCAGTGCCGTTGTAACTTCAAACGGTCACTAAATGAATGGTTGTAGGTTGAAGACATGGTCGTAAGTGTGAGAAAGGGTCATAAGTCACTTTTTCTAATGCTGTTGTAACTTCAAACAGTCACTAAATGAATGGTTGTAAGTTGAAAACATGGTCGTAAGTGTGAGAAAGGGCCATAAGTCACTTTTTTCAGTGCTGTTGTAACTTCAAACGGTCACTAAATGAACTGGTTGTAAGTCGAGGACTGCCTGCATTTCCTTTTTCTTCCCCCTAAAGGTCCTTTTTCTCTCTTAATGTCCAGGTCTCTGCCCCGTGAACCGCAACACCATAGACTACCTCCTGTCCCAAAACGGCACTGGCAACGCGGTCGTCATCGTGGTGGGGGGCGCTGCGGAGTCCTTGAATTGCGCCCCGGGGAAAAACTGTGTGACTCTGAAGCACCGGAAGGGGTTTGTGAAGCTGGCATTAAGACATGGGTAAGGAGAATGAAGGACCCTCATTTGCCTCCCTTTGGACCAATTACTAGGAGACTGAGAGTTCTAGTCCCACCTTAGGTCTAAAAACCAGCTGGGTGATTTTGGGCCAATCACCAGGTGGCTGAGAGTTCTAGTCCCGCCTTAGGTCTGAAAGCCGGCTGGGTGACTTTGGGCCAATCACCAGGAGGCTGAGAGTTCTAGTCCCGCCTTAGGTCTGAAAGCCGGCTGGGTGACTTTGGGCCAATCACCAGGAGGCTGAGAGTTCTAGTCCCGCCTTAGGTCTAAAAACCAGCTGGGTGATTTGGGCCAATCACCAGGAGGCTGAGAGTTCTAGTTCCGCCTTAGGTCTGAAAGCTGGCTGGGTGACTTTGGGCCAATCTCCAGGAGGCTGAGAGTTCTAGTCCCGCCTTAGGTCTGAAAACCAGCTGGGTGACTTTGGGCCAATCACCAGGAGGCTGAGAGTTCTAGTCCCACCTTAGGTCTAAAACCAACTGGGTGACTTTGGGCCAATCACCACGAGGCTGAGAGTTCTAGTCCCGCCTTAGGTCTGAAAGCCGGCTGGGTGATTTTGGGCCAATCACCAGGAGGCTGAGAGTTCTAGTCCCGCCTGCAAATAAAAGAAAAATACCTTCCTGGGTGCAACTCTGACCCTGTGATGGAGCTGTTGCTTCTTTGCAATTCTGACAGTGATTTTGTCTTTTCTCCTCCAGGGCCGATCTGGTCCCCATTTACTCCTTTGGGGAGAACGAAGTCTTCAAACAGATCATTTTTGAAGAGGGATCCTGGTGCAGATGGGTGCAGAAGAAATTGCAGAAGTATATCGGCGTGGCTCCGTGCATCTTCCATGGACGGGGGGTCTTCTCCTCCAACAGCTGGGGGTTGGTGCCTTATGCCAGGCCCGTCACGACCGTCGGTAAGTGGGGAAAGAGAGATTCCTGGTGTCGATAGAGGAGAACGTTTGTAGCTCGGGGTTGAACGGTGGGGCCCTTGGTGCTCTCTGAGCTTGGTTGTTTTCTTGCAGACGTTTCATGACCAAACTAGGTAACATCATCAGTGCTAGTAGGCGATGGGGTTTGCTCATATTCTAGTGCAGTGATGGCTAACCTTTTTGCCATCGCATGCCGGAGCTGGGGCGGGGGGGTTCGCGTGCATGCGTCTCCACACCCACAATTCTATGCACTCCACCCCGCGCTTACACGCGCGACACCCCCCCCCCCCCCGCTCGTGGCACACGATGGCACGGTAGGCCTGTTTTTCTCTCTCCCCAGGCTCCAGAGCCTTTCTAGGAGCTTGGGGAGGGCGAAAACGGCCTTCCCTCCTTCCAGGGAGGCTGGAAACGGCCTGTTTGCCAACTTCTGGTGGGACCTCCGGTGTGTGTGTGTGTATGTGGGGAAGGCTGTTTTCGCCCTCCCCAGGCTCCTAGAAAGGCTCTGGAGGCCTGGGAGAGCAAAAAACGGGACTTCCGGTCCCACCGGAAGTTGGTAAACAGGCCGTTTCCGGCCTCCGGAGGGCCTCCGAAGGAGTGGGGAAGGTCGTTTTTGCCCTCTCCAAGCTCCTAGAAAGGCTCTGGAGCCTGGGGAGAGAGAAAAAGGGGCCTCCCTCTCCCAAGGCCCTCCGGAGGCAGGAAACAGCCTGTTTCCCTACTTCCGGTGAGCCCAGAAGACCTGAAAATCAGCTGGCCGACATGCGCATGCGCGCCAGAGCTGTACCCACCGATACGACTATGTGTGCCACCTGTGTACCCACCGATATGACTATGTGTGCCACCTGTGGCACGCGTGCCATAGGATCGCCATCACGGTTCCAGTGCAATTCTAGTAAATTATAAAGAGAGAGAAACCCATTTTAGGGGAAAAGCAATCTTTCTGTGATCTGTCATGTCCCTTTCTCTCCTTTGCCTTCCAGTCGGCGAGCCCATCACAATTCCCAAAACGGACAATCCCTGCCAGAAGGAGATAGACTTTTATCACAACCTGTACGTACAGTCTCTGGACAGACTCTTTGAGAAGTACAAGACGAAATTCGGCCTGTCGGAGTCGGAGACGTTGGAGATCAACTGATGGCACCCGCGCGACGACGCTGCCTTGGGGGGACTTAAATTTTCTGGCGGGCTTGGAAAAACCGGCGCCAAAAGAGACTCTTTCTGCCAGTCCAATTGTTTTGTCTTCTGCTCTGTGGAATTGGGGGAATCAAGCATGGATGTGTAGAGAAGATAAAGGAATATTGTCTAAATATTCAAATATTAGATCTCTCTTAGAGCCAGTGTATCGTTCGGCTGCTGACAGAGCTGCCTTGTCTCCTTAAAGAGGTAATGAATCCCCTCATCCCACCTCAATCTCCAAGGTCAGCCAGCCGCCATCTTTACAGGCCACCATCTTTGAATGGAGACCTTGTCTGCAAAAAGCAGGAACTCCGTCTCCGACTTGGGACGTGCCGTCGCTGCTTCTTCTGAGAGGGAAAACACCGAGAAATGGATAAGAAATGGGGAAGAAAAGAGATGCAGATTGGAGCCTACTAATATCTGTATTTCAGAGAGTCTCTTCTGATTGTCTGATTTCTATGTTAAGTATCCAAATTAGGTTTAGGGTAGCCATTTTGGAAAGAAACTCCTTCAAATACCTCCCCTAATCTCAGGAAATCAGAAATGATAGCTGGTCCATTTATATTGTTTGCAACTCTTGGGCTCCTCACCAGTAGAACATGCGTGATTGTTGTGACCCAGGCCCAAGTAGGTAGACCTAATCAATGCAAACAGTTTGAAAACAAACAGGCTTTATTAGAACAGCTGAGATTTAACTCATTCTCAGCGTAGTCCAAACTAAATCAAACAAAGTCTTCGTGAAGTCTTATCACCAACCTTGGTATAATTAGGCAAACTGCCAAAGGCTTCTCTTGGCAAAAGTTCAGAAGCAGAGGACGCCGCGCAAAATAAGAACCAAGTTTATCAACGTTGTTTTCTGACAAAAAACCCAAGAGCCATTGCTGGTCTTTTAAGCCTTATGGGAGGGGCCAATCATCTCTTGGCCTTACTCCTGAGTTGTCCTCTTTGCTTTATCTGCTCCTGTCTTCTGGCAGCTCTTCTCATATGTGCACTAAGAACAGGCTCCTCCTGTTCCTCTGCCTCTCTGCTGTCAGCCTCTGGAGGCTCCGGAGTCCGCACATCACTCCCTGATGGCCCTGGCCCCATCTCTGCCTCCGATGCAGAGCCCTCATCTGGGCCTTCCCCAGCCTCCAGGACTGGCCCATGTTCTTCCTCAGCCTCATCGCTGTCCGACTCCTCTGCCAGCTCCGCAGGCTGCTGGTGGACCACAACAGTGATGACGTCTGGGCAGGTGGGCGGAGCCTCCTGCTGCCGCCGCTACCGGTTTGTTCGAACAGGGAGAACCGGTAGAAACCTGTCACTGCTCCTCACAGATCTCAATACGCTATCCATCCTTCCTTGCTTTTAAAAGAAGCGCTCTTCACAACTCGGGTCTTTCTGCATTTAGAATTGCACGCTCTCTCTCGTGTTGACCCTTCTCATACAGGTAGTCCTCGCCTTACGACCCAACATGGAGCCCCAGATTTCTGTGGCTGGGGCGAGATGGCGGCAAAGCGAGTTTTGCCCCATTTTACGGCCTCCCTCGCCACAGGTGTGAAGTGAAATCGCAGCCATTGTTCAACTTAGTCACACGGCCGTGAAGGGAATCTGAGTCCCCCCCCCATGGATTTTGTTTTGTCAGAAGGTCGCAAAAGGGGATCGCATGACCCCCAGGACAAGCGACCGTCATAAATATGAGCCAGTTTTTCAAGTGTCCGAATTTTGATCCCGGGGATGCTGCAATGGTCGTAAGTGTGAAAAATAGCCATAAGTCACTGTTTTTCAGTGCCGTTGTAATTTCAAACTGTCACTAAATGAACTGTTGTAAGTTGAAGGCGACCTGTCCTTTTTTTTTTTTTTTTTTTTAACCTTAGGGATCTCTGTGAATCTGGTATTTCAAGGGTTCAGAGTAGAGTGCAAGGGACAACCCAGCTGAGTTAGTGCAGTAGGTCAACCCTTTCTCTTGATTGCACCTGGTTCTGGTCCTCCTGGACCAGATCAGCTCTAACCACCTGGTTGCCTTCACACAAAATGCTAAGCTTTCAGGTTTTTTCGTGTGGTTTTTTTTTGGGTTGTACGAACCCAGCTTGTTAACGGATGGTTTAGGGCCGTGATGGCGAACCTATGGCATGCGTGCCACAGGTGGCACGTGGAGCCATATCTGTGGGCACATGAGCGTTGCCCTAGCTGAGCTCCAGCGCGCATGTACGCACCGGCCAGCTGATTTTCAGGCCTTCCGGGCCCACTGGATGTTGGGAAACGAGCCGTTTCCAGCCTCCGGGGGGAGGGGAGGCCGTTTTTGCCCTCCCCAGGCTCCAAGAAAGACTCTGGAGCCTGAGGAGAGCAAAAAATGGTCCTTCCGAGCCCACTGGAAGTCGGGAAACGAGTCGTTTCCAGCCTCCAGAGGGCCTCCGGAGGGGGTGGGGGAGGCCATTTTCACCCTCCCCAGGCTCCAAGAAAGCCTCTGGAGATTGGGGAGGGCGAAAAAACAGGCCTATCAGGCCTACCAGTAACCTTTTTGCCGTCACTGGTTAGCCATCACTGGTTTAGGGTATTGGACCCTAATTTTAGGGTCCATTTTACTGTATATAAAAGCCAGGGAGAAATATTTTGTAGTGAAAGGTGAGGTGGGGGGGAAACGACTGACAAATATTTTTTTTGTGAGTGAAACACTTCTGTTTTCGATAGACACATGTGGGAGAGCTTTGATAGGTTTTTTCCCCCCTGAAATCTCTTAACGTTTGTCCTTGCCTTTAAAGCGTCACTGGTTTTTTTGGAGGGGGGGGGACATCCTGCCAAGTTTTGCCCATCCTACTGTAGAAATCTCAACCATCAAAAATATTTTTCTTTTTGCCTGCTTTTTTTTGCAGCTTTGTGCTTAGACCTTCTGGGGCCTAGAATTCCTTCTGGGCAATTCCATCCGCCTCTCTCTCTTATTTTCCTCAGTTTTGGTTACCCCCTTTTCCACCTCATCTACAGCCTAATCCCTAATAATGGCTTGATTGATCAGGGGTCCTTACTGAGCCCTAAATGTTCTCCTACATTGGAGAATGGACTTGTTCTTCAAAGGCAGGACAAGAAAGCAATGGGGTGGGAGCTTGTTAAGGAGAGATCCAACTTAGAAATAAGGAGAAATTTCCTGACACAACAATCTTATTGGTGGAACAGATTCCCTCCGGAAGTTGTGGGTGATCCATCACTGGAGGTTTCCCAAAACAGACTGGACAAATATTTGACCAGGATGGTATAAGGGGGTTGAGCAGGAGGTTGGATTAGAACAGTGGTGGGATTCAGCAGGTTCGGGCGAATTGGTAGTTAAATTGTTGGCTGGTTCCTCCCCTCACCGCCCCTTCCAGGAATCCCCACGTGCCCCGTTTGCGCACCCAGGAGGCTGCAGGGACGCACCTCACCTATCCCCAATTTATAACTTTTGGCTGTTCCAAGAAGATCCCACACCTCTGATTCAGGTGACCCCGAGGTCACAGATAAAACCCCAAGTAACCACAACGGCTCTCGGAGAGCGTGAAGACCAGTTGACTGCATGGAAACTCAATGTTTCCATCTGTCCCCCATCCTGTCCAAACCCTTCATTCCCCCTCCTACCAACTGACCTCAACTTTCCGTAACTCTCCTTCCATCTCCCACACCATCCAATAGAACTGATGAAGCTTCCAGGATAGGAAGCGAAATGTCTTCTTTTTCCTCAAAAAAAAATCAGTCCAGCTCAGTGGTGAAATCCATTTTTTTTTACTACCGGTTCTGTGGCTTGGTGGGCGTGGTATGGCTTGGTGGGCGTGGCAGGGGAAGACCTCCAAATTCCCTTCCAGATTCTATTCTATTCTGTTCTGTTCTGTTCTGTTCTGTTCTGTTCTATTCTATTCTATTCTATTCTATTCTATTCTATTCTATTCTATTCTATTCATCCTATCCTATCCTATCCTATCCTATCCTATCCTATCCTATCCTATCCTATCCTATCCTATCCTATCCTACTCTACTCTCTTCTGTTACTCTATTTATTTCTTATTCTAGTCTATTCTTACTCTATTTCTATTCTATTCTTCTTATTCTTTCTTCTTATTCTTATTCCATTCCATTCTTCGCTGGTTTTATTCTATACCATCCCAGCCTCCATTCCATTTTAGATTGATGTATATATGCTAGTTATCCTGTCTAATGTATTTCCTATTTCTATATATTTCCATGTTGACTGAAGCTTTGTAGATGAATATATTCAGAGCCAATCATGCTGACATGTTAACATTTGTTTAAATGTTTTGCACTATTGTATGTTTTAACCCTTAGCCTTCAAGTATTTTAATTGCCAATAATGACTGAAGCTATAGATGTGCCTTTGTGTAATGCAGTTTTTTTCCCAAACTTGGCCACTTTAAGGTGTCTGAACTTTAACCCCTAGAATTCCCCAGCCAGCATTTAAGTCTGGACATCTTAAAAGTCAGGTTTGAAAAACACTGGTGTAATGCAAAAAACCCACGGGCTTAATTCATTTCTAAGGTTCTCTGATCCTACACATATATTCATTTAGAAAAATTAGACTGCTGCAGTCTGTAGACATTTCATGGAGTAGACTGAACATAGGGGTTTGGCGGGAAGATTTTGTATAAATTTATAGAAATAAACATTAAACAAAAATACACTGGTTTACTGATTGTTCTTTTCCTGGATTTGTTCTCGAGAAGTTTGGCCTGTAAGCAACATTCTGCAGAGTGCAGAAAAGAGAAAAAAATAAATAAAGCAAAGATAATAAAAAATAAAGATGCCTAAATTGAGTTTACGCCAACGTAATTTATTATATCTCACCAGTTTTCCAGCCATCTCTGCTTCAACTATGTTGATATATCTCTTTATACATTATTCTTTAAGCATTCTAATTTTTGTTGAGGCTGTCATCAATTATATCCAGCGACAACCTCCTTGTCTTCCCCTTAAGCCAGGTTTTTCATTTTTTTAACCACAAGTTTTTGCAATTCATTCTTCATTAATTTTATCCAATCAAGCCACCTTAAGAAAGAATTGTTCTTTAAAAATTGAGAAGATGGAGCTAAAAATGTGTATACAGAAGACTGAATAAACAAGGACTGAAATAAGATTAGTGCTGATTGAAAACTGCCCTAATCAATCTATCAATCTATCAATCTATCTATCTATCTATCTATCTATCTATCTATCTATCTATCTATCTATCTATCTATCTATCTATCTATCTATCTATCTAAAAGCGAAATACTACTCACGCATCATCACAAAATCTCCAGAACTGTAAAGCCTGCAAACTTGAAATTTGCTGTGTATGTTCTTGGCTTCTAGGTGCTCACTAAGAAAGGATTTTTTGAAATGACCATCAGAGCATTAGTATTTCCTATATTATTATTAACATGCTTTGATGCTAAGGAGTTTTACTCCCCCTCCCCACCTGAAAAGAAATCTGTTCCAAATGCAAAACACAAGCAGAGGAGAGGAGTTTTCAGTTTTACTTTCACAGCAGCAAGCAGGGGATAGGATAGAGAAGGCTTCTATGAGGCAATCCTGAGGGAGAGAAGCGGATAGGATAGGGGAGGCTTCTATAGGACAAGGCTGAGGGAGAGAAGGGGGATAGGATAGAGGAGGCTTCTGTGGGGCAAGGCTGAGGGACAAAAGGGGAGAGGAGAGGCCGATCGTAACTACTCATTAATTTTCAAGCTGTAAGTGTTGATTTATCAAGCCCGATCACATAATTTCGTAGCGGAGCACGGGTATTCAGCTAGTAATATATAAGCCAATGCTGCCTTCAGGTGGTTTGGTCAAGCCAATGCCACAATAAGACCATATTTAATATTTAGTTTTATTGATTAGGCTATGTATACAGTTAGTCATCGACTTAATGACCACAATTGAACCCAAAATTTCTGTTGCTAAGCAAGACAGTTGTTAAGTGAACCACTGCACTTAAGTTAGTAACACAGTTAAGCGAATTTGGCCTACCCATTCACTTTGCTGGTCAGAAACTCACAAAAGGGGATCATGGGACCCTAGGACACTGCAACCATTATAAATATGAGTCATTTGGCAAGAATCTAAATTTTGATCATGTGACCATGGGGATGCTGCAACGGCCATAAATGTGAAAAACGGTCATAAGTCACTTTTTTCAGTGCCATAACTGAAAGTCACTAAACAAATGATTGTAAGTCGAGACCTGCTAGTACAATTCAACATGGGCTATTTTTAAGGCAGATACAGGTAGTCCTCGACTTACGGAGCAGAATGCAGCCCAAGATTTTTGTTGTTAAGTGAGACATTTGTTAAGCAAGCTTTGCCCCATTTTACGACCTTTCTTGCCACTGTTGTGAAGTGAATCCCCACAGTTGATAAGTTAGTAACCCAGATGCTAAGTGAATCTGGTTTCCTCATTGACTTTGCTCGCCAGGTCACAAAAGTGGATCACCTGACCTTTGGACACAGCGGCGGTCATACATACGAACCAGTTGCCAAGCGCCTGAATTTGGATCACATGATTATGGGGATGCACGCTGCAAAGGTCATAACTCTGAAAAACGGTCATAAGTTGTTTTTTTTCAGTGCCGTTGTAAAGTTGAATGGTCACTAAGTGAACTGTTGTAAGTTGAGGACTACCTGTATACCTCTGAAGGTGTAACTTTTCCAGGGAAGGCAGTACATTAGATGCTCTGTCATTGTTGTTATTATTATTATTAATCAAATTTCTATACCGCCCTACTCCCGGAGGACTCAGGGCGGTGAACAGCCAAGATAAAATACAGATAATACAAATATTAAAAGTCCCTTAAAATTATTAAATATTTTGGCCGAAACACAGATTAAAACACCCAATTTATAAAATCAAACGAATTAAAAATTTTTAAAAAGGAGAGTTAGGCCAGGCCAGCCTGCTGAAACAAAAAAGTTTTGAGAGCATGACGAAATGTGCGCAGGTCCGGGATCCTCCGTATCTCTGGGGGGAGCTCGTTCCAGATAGTAGGTGCCCCCACAGAGAAGGCTCTCCCCCTGGGGGCCGCCAGTTGACACTGTTTGGCCGACGGCACCCTGAGAAGCCCCTCTCTATGGGAGCGTACTGGTCGGTGAGAGGCTATTGGTAGCAGAAGGCGCTCTCGTAAATACCCCGGTCCGATGCCATGGAGCGCTCTAAAGGTGGTAACCAAAACCTTGAAGCGCACCCGGAAGACCACCGGGAGCCAGTGCAGCTTGCGCAGGAGGGGGGTCACATGGGAGCGCCACGTCGCTCCCATAACCACCCGTGCGGCCGCATTCTGGACCAGCTGGAGCCTCCGGGTGTTCCTCAAGGGGAGCCCCATGTAGAGAGCATTGCAGTAGTCCAGGCGGGAAGTAACGAGAGCATGAGTGACCGTATTTAACGAGTCCCAATCCAGAAAGGGACGCAACTGGCGAATCAGGCGGACCTGATAAAAAGTCCCCCTGGCCACGGCCGTCATGTGCTCTTCTAAAGACAGCCGTGAGTCCAGGAGGACACCCAAGTTGCAAGCCCTCTCTGTGGGGGCCAATGTTGAAGGCGTTAAAGAATCTGATAAGGGAATATCTCTGAAATGATAACCCAAAAAGGGCATGGGTTACGTAGTAGTTATTATTTGAATTATTTTGGAGGACTGTGAGGATCAATTGTGATATCATTATCCCTGATTTAAGCTGTTTTTTCTTTTTTTAAATCATGGTATTTTGAACATTTTGTTCTTGCAGCAAACCACCAAGGGTTATGAGATGAGGCAGTTATAAAAAATAAACAGAAGCCACCGCCAACAGAAGTCCATCTTTATTCATTGTGCATTTATGCCATTAACAAAAGTTCTTTGTGGTGGCTGCAGAAAAGCCACAAACATTTTTTAATTCCCGTTTTTGCAAACAGGCAACGCAATGCATGATGGGTGATATAGCATCCTTCCAGACAGGCCCAGGCCCAGCCTCCTTCATCTGTTGCTATGGAGATGCGCTCCCCTCCCTCCGAGTGGCTCTCTCCGTCACTTGACAAAACACGACCACGTGACCCTCTGTCCTCGGCTTCCCACCCTTCACCTAGTTTCATCCGCCTGTCCATCACTATAAAGTTCCCGTCCAATCGCGAAGGGCGTCTTATAGATATCACTTTAGACCCGCCTCTTGTAAGGAGCACGCCCACCAATGAGAAACGAGATACAAGTTTGCTATCCATAGAGGCGGTGTTTCCAAACACACGCGCACACGTAATGAAGCACCTCAGAAAGACGGGACGTTGGGTTTAGACCGACGTGCTTAGGGACCAATGCGTCCGCGCTACCGCAAGGACGAAGCCCGCCTTCCTCCCCGACGAGCCAATCAGCGGGCGGCGTGTCTCCGTCGCTCCGTCTTCTTAGTCGCCTCAGTCGTATTGGAAATAACAGGGCTTCGGCAAGAAGCGCGGGAGGCCCTGGAGTCGTTTCCCCGGTCCCGGAAAAAGCGAGCTGGAGGCTTTCAAAGAAGCCCCGGAGGAGGCCGGCGGGACCTTTGGGAGGCCTCGTCGTCACCCTTAACTCTTCCGAATCCGGCGGCGGCGGCGGGCTCAATGCGCATGCGCCAAGGCCTCTCCTGCTCCCGAGCCCTCCGGGCCGCCGCCGGGTCGCCGTCAGCATGAGTCAAACCTCTGCCGTCCTGCCACCGCCGGGTCCGACCTCCCGCTCCATGCATGTGGAGTTGCCGTCTCAGCAGGTCGGTGTTTCGCTTGCGGGCCCCCGGAAGGAAAAGCGGGAGGGGAAAGGGTTAATGGGCCGCGGGAGCGAGCACGTGAGATGGGGCGGGGCCTGGGGAGGGGAGGGGGGGGCTCGCTCTCTGGATTCCACGCGCATGCGTGCACGCGCCGCGCCGCTTCCCTTGCAGCTGCCGCCCCGCTTCCGGGTGTCTGGAATCCCCCTCACAACCCTGTGAGGTGGGTTAGGATGAGAGGGAGGGAGGGAGTGGCCCAAAGTCCCCCAGCTGGCTTTCATGCCTAAGGCGGGACTAGAACTCACTATCACCTGGTGATTGGCCCAAAGTCATACAGCAAACTCTCATGCCTAAGGCGGGACTAGAACTCACAGTCTCCTGGTGATTGGAGCAAAGTCACCCAGCTGGCTTTCATTCCTAAAGCGGGACTAGAACTCACCGTCTCCTGGTGATTGGCCCAAAGTCACCCAGCCAACTTTCATGCCTAAGGCTGGACTAGAACTCACAGTCTCCTGGTGATTGGTCCAAAGTCACCCAGCCAACTTTCATGCCTAAGGCGGGACTAGAACTCACAGTCTCCTGGTGATTGGAGCAAAGTCACCCAGCTGGCTTTCATTCCTAAAGCGGGACTAGAACTCACAGTCTCCTGGTGATTGGAGCAAAGTCACCCAGCTGGCTTTCATTCCTAAAGCGGGACTAGAACTTACTGTCTCCTGGTGATTGGTCCAAAGTCACCCAGCCAACTTTCATGCCTAAAGCGGGACTAGAACTCACTGTCTCCTGGCGATTGGCCCAAAGGCATCCAGCCAGTTTTATGTCTAAAGTGGGACTAGAACTCACAGGCTCCTGGTGATTAGACCAAAGTCGCCCAGTGGGCTTCCGGTAGGACTAGAACTCACCATCTCCTGGTTCTTTAGGCCAGCACCTTAACTACTATACTGATGTATATCAAAGTGGCTCTGATATTACTTTTTGGACAGTACGCTGCCCTATAACACAGGACCGCTGACTGTGTGAAATTCCTTCCCTTAATTCATTACCCTCTAAAAGGATGCAAATGACCAGCTGTCTGCAAGGAATATAAATCCTTCCATTCCCTACTATCCTGCCAGAGCTGAAGAAGCTTCTTGGATGAGAAGCGAAACATCTTCAAAAGAAAAAAACAAGAAAGTCCTGAAAAAAAGCACCTTTGGGACGGTCCTTCCCCTAATTATGTCTTTATGAAATAAATGACTTTCTTATAGGAATTCCATTCTTATAAAAGGTGCCATGGAGCAGAACATGGGTGATTGATTCAGTCGGCTTTCTCTTAAAGTGCACAGTCTTACGTTAGACGAAATTTTTTTTATAATGCTGCTCTAAAGAATGGCTTTTGGGATGGTTATTAATAGCTATTAAAACATGCTGATGTCAGTGCTCTTAATTGATCTCTATATTTTACTGGCCTGTAAAAGGAGCTTGAAAACTCAGAAGCATCCTACGTAGGCCAGACTGGTTCAAATGTCTTTCTAAGCTTCTTGTGCATTGTTTGAGCGCAGTAATCACATGATCATAGCCCATTGTCAAAATTATCTCTTTGAAGAAACATGGTGTTGCAGGTTTTTAAAGACGATCTTTTCCATATTGATCTGTAATTATCTGACACACAGAACCTAAATCAGAGGTGTCAAACAGGATTTCTTCAAGGGTCTCAGATCAGCGTTGTAGTTCTCCGTGGGCCGGCAGGAGGGGGGAGAAATGGGACAGACATCTCATTTTCGGCCTTGCCGGTCTCCTGCATCACTCTGCTGGCCAAAAACAAGCCGTGCAGAGGCTCTGCGAGGTGCCCGTGCAGCCCATTTTCAGCGTCCCTGGCCTCCAGCAGCACTCTGCCCATTTTTGGCCAGCAGAGTGCTGCAGGAGATCGGGGAGGCCGAAAATGGGCCTCGCAGGGGCCTTGTGGGCTAGTCCTTTGATATTGCCAGGCTGGCTCCGTGGGCCAGATTTAAGCACCCCATGGGCCGTATCCAGCCCATGGGTCTTGAGTTTGGCACCCCTGACCTAGATCATCTGTGATCATCCCTGGTGGCACGGCAGACTAAAGCACTGTTATTAATATCAGCTGCCTGCAGTTACTGCAAGTTCAAATCTCTCCAAGGCTCAAGGTTGACTCAGCCTTCCATCCTTTCTAAGGTAGGTAAAATGAGGACCCAGATTGTGAGAGCAATAAACTGACTTTGTATAAAATATACAAAAGTATGAAGGCTGTTGCGTAACGCATTGTAAGCCGCCCTGAGTCTCCGGAGAAGGGCAGCATATAAATCAAATTAAAAAAAAACAAAAAACAATAGTAACTTTAGCCAGTGGGGATTACAACTGAATGTGCCTATTTAGAGTTTTGGATTCTTTGTGTTCTCTGAGCTTGGTTGTTTTCCTACCGAAGTTTTCATTATCTGTTCATGAACGGATAATGTTCCATAGCCTGGCAACAAAATATGCAGGAAAACATCGAAGCCCAGAGAACACTAAGAATGCATAAGTGTACACTTTTATTTAGACCAGGGGTGGGGAACTATGGCCCTTTTATGACTTGTGGGTTTCAACTCCCAAGTCGGCTGTGAGTTGAAACCCACATTTGTGGAGTTGGAAGTCCACAAATCATAAAAACCGTATTTCCCCACCTCTGATTTAGGCCAACCTGCCTCCTTAGTACCATTTTAGGTACACAAGGGATCCTTTGGGCTATACCATAGTCCTTAAGAACTGAACTCTTTGCAAAAGAGCAAGGACTGATAGGAGCCCCAGACAAAAGTTTTTTTAGACTCCTTTAAAGCAGTGGTCCCCAACCCCCGGTCCGCGGACCGGTGCCGGGCCGTGGAGTACCTGGCACCGGGCCGTGCAGCGGCCGGGGGACATGAACGCTGCAGCGCAAAGGCTCCTGGGCCGTGCGCAAAAGCTCCTGGGCCGTGTGCAAAAGCTCCTGGGCCGTGCGCAAAGGCTCCAGGGAAGAGAGCCCCGCGCAGGTACGCATGTGTGGCCCAAAGCCCCCACCCCTGCGCGCGCTCAGCGGGCCACGGTAAAATTATCAAAGGCTGATTGGTCCGCGGCGATAAAAAGGTTGGGGACCACTGCTTTAAAGTATATGCTGCTTCTGCTTACACCACCCCTACTTTTAATACCTTCCTTAGCCAACTATAACTTTATTGTTTGTGTATGCTATGCCTTTGGGTCAAGTGGGATTACATTGCTGCTGCTAATTTTGTGCATTTAACCTATATAATTTTTATGTGGCCTACATTTGGTGGAGCTATGAAAAAATATTCCAAGTATTCAAACATTTTAACTTGCCCAATGTCTGACTATTTAATCACCAGACATTTATTAAGCTGAGATAAGTAAAAATTAAGATCTTGATTTTAGTGCAGTTACTTTCAAGGTCTCCTCAGAACAAGAGGCTAAGAGAGCTCATTTTAATCCTTTTGGTATTTGCCTTACATCTGCTTATGGCAGCAGTATTTTTGAATTTTCCTTAAAGCTTTGTTCTGGAGATGAGCTTGAATGCAGATGGGAAATCAGTAGAGGCAGTTTAGAATGCAAGACCTGGCTTGCACAATTTTTTTTCCTGCCAGAAATCGCAATATAAGAGCATGGTCAAAAAACAGAGTGTCCAACACTGAAAACCTGCCTATTCATCTGCCAGAATGTGTTATGAGTTGGCTCAGTCAGACAGTTAAATAAGTGCTTAGTTAGTACAATGCTTGCTTATCTATAACTACTAAAAATGTCATTGGCTTGGCTGTCAAGGTAGCTCAGACAGCGCATTATGCCGTAACAATTTTTGAATAAAGATCCCTAAAATATGCTAACTTAAAGAATGTGTAAAATATCGAAATATCAAAACGAATGTTGATCATGTGACTGGGGATGCTGCAATAATTGTAAAGTGTGAAAAATCATGTCACTTTTTTCAATGCCTTTGTAACTTCGAACAGTCAACTAAACAAACTGTTGTAAGTCGAGGACTGATAGTAGTGGCCACTGCAGTAATCCCTGCAGTCACATGATCGTGATTTCCAACGTTCCATGCCAGCTTCCTGCAAGCAGAGTCACTGGGGAAGCCAGCAGGAAGTTGGAAGTTTCACCCTCTCTCACTGCTTTTTTGCCCACCTGTGGTCATTCTGTTTATCTGCTTACATAAATATTAACTTACTGATGCTTGTTTGCCAATCATTATTTTTCTATTTATGATATCTACTCTTTGAGATGATCACGCGACCATCCAGTATTGGTGTAAAATATATATAGTCAGCCTAATATTTATGTTCATTCTGGTAACGTCAGACTACACTGTCTTTCTCCCAAAGGATGACCCAACAGATCACAGAGTTGCTTAGTTTTACAGGTAATCCTCGATTTACAACTTACGACCATTGCAACATCCCTGTGATCAAGTGATCCAAATTCAGGCACTTGGCAACCGATTCTCATTTATGACGGTTGCAGTGTCTTGGGGTCATGTGATCACCTTTTGCAACCACCTGCTCAGCAAAGTCAATGGGGGAAGCCAGATTCCCTTAAGAACTGTGTTACTGACTTGACAACTTTGGTGATTCACTTAACGACTCGGGCAAGGAAGGTTGTAACATGGGACAAAATTCACTTAACAATCATCTCATTTTAGTAACAGAAATTTTGGGGCTCAGTTGTGGTTGTAAATTGAAGACTACCTGCACTAAAATAGGTGATTAGTCGGTTAATAGAAAAATTTAGATTGTGCAAAAATTTAGATTGTGCGTTTTTCTAGACAGGCAGTATAAATGCGTGGAAGAACTGTAACAGTAACAGAGTTGGAAGGGACCTTGGAGGTCATCTAGTCCAACCCCCTGCTCATGCAGGAGACCTGTACTAGGGATTCGAACTGCCAAACTGCCGACCTTTCTGATCGACAAACTTAGTGTCTTAGCCACTGAGCAGGCTGCTTAGAAAAATTGCAGGCCTCTGTGCTGTCTTCCTCTCCTCCCTTTGAG